ACAACAAATAAGAACCGACAACTTATCTGAAAGTTACCACTCGGCGTTAACAAAAAGGTTGTCAACAAAGAAGCCATCTTTACAGGCTCTCATATTGAATATCATGAATGTCGAAAAAATGCAACTCAAAAAACTTCAACAAATGAGCAAGGGCCAAAACCATTACAGTAGAAGACCGACGAAATTGTTTTATTTGACTTTAAATTATTATAGTGGTAATGAAATGGAAAATGATTTCCAAAACAATTTGGTCGAAGTTGTAGAAGATTATCATTGGAACAAATTATATGAAATGAATGAAAGTAATGAAATAGAGACAGATTTAAATGTACAAATTTACATCTTTGCAATGTGAATGAAAGTTTTGTTGGAGAAGTGACAGACCGTTTGAAAATTAAAACATTAAAAGATAAAGACGCAGAAAATAAAACGTGTCAAATACAACAAAAACAAGACAAAATTGCAGACACAACAATTGCCACTCCAGTTGATACGCGGATTGATACACCCAAAGACAAAATAACAAAGAAAAAAGGAGGAATAAAAAGAAAAAGTGATTATGTTCCTCTCTCAAAAAGACGATTTGTTGGAGACGGTAAGAAAAAAAGAAAACAATCAATAACTGACTTGTGATACTTTATATTATTTTATAAATTTTTATAAAAATAGACAATTTAAAAAATAAAAATTATGTTTTTATTTTTATTTTTAAATAACAAAAATGACTTGAAATAATGTTGAAATTTGTTGCATTTTTAATTGAAAATTATGAAAAGTAAAATTATAAAATGTCGGATTATTTTTTGCCAGATTATTTTGTCACCCAATCGTTTTGGAAAAAAAAACAAATGTGGGAAGTGATGCAATGGAGTATTCAGCAGCATAATCAGTTGCTGTAGTCGCATCAACTTTGAAAAATTTGAGGTTTGTGTGTTTGTCAGCAAGTTTGTCCATCATTGGCGCACTTGCCTTGCACTTTGCACACTCGAGGAATAGAAGATGACAAAAACATTCTTGTTGTTTTCAATTGTTTGTTTCACTTCTGCAACATTGGTTGTGTATGTCACTGGCATGTTTTGATGTAAAGTTGTGTGATTTGGTTATTTAAATACACACCGATTGTTTCAACACACACTTACCAATGAATAGATGTTGCAATAACTCTGTCTCGATTTATAACCTTTCACTTTAAAATTGTTTTATTCAATTTTTTGTTTGGTATTTGATATAGTAAAAATATAGATAAATAATTTTTAATATTTAAATTCAGCCAAATAATATATTATTTGTGTGTGGTCGTTATTTATTTAAATTTTAATCATATTAAAAATTGTTATAATTAACCGTTTTTTGGTTGTTTTATATAAAAAATTATTTATATCAATTAAGCAAAAAATAACGTTTTGATATTAATTATTGTGTAATTGTTTTTTACAAATATCATTTGAAACAATCACTCGGAAAACGAATCATCCAAATATTTGAATAATATTGCAGAAAAAACACAAATTATTAATTTTATATCAAATAAAATTGTTAAAATTAATTTAATAATATTTATTGAATTACACAATGAAGTTGTGCTAATTTAAGAAATTTTTTACAAGATAAATGGTGGCTTTCAGCCGAAATTGTGTCAATATTGTTTATCACTTTTTAAAACAACTTTAAAGTTTTTAGAACTTATTTACAAAAGTCTATGTGTTGGTGTTAATATGTATATTTGGAACCAGAAGGGTTATAATTTGTCAAACAAACAAGATAAAATATGTTTATCCAACACAACAACAATTATGGTTGATTTATTGTAAAAAATAATAAATATACCACGATTAACAAATATTAAAAACTATTCACTATAAAACCTCTCAAGTTTGGGAAGGTCTAATAATTATTTATATTTCAAAAATTATCATATTTTGCCAATCAAACCTAAAAACCGGCTCTATAAATAACTCTATTTTTATCTTTAGTTTAAAATGCTCTCTTATCAAAGGTACCACTTTGAAAAGTGTTACTGTATTATGGATATATTTATATAACAGTGAATAAAAATAAACTGGTTTTATTAAATTATAAAACCATTTTATGCGACTTTAAAGTAGGTATGAAATAAAATCCATTTTACTTGTTTACCAAAAAAAGAAAAAATTGGTAAAAAATTTCACCAATTTACGATCTTAAAGATCCCTATATTTCAAAAA